GCGTCTACAGGGCACCCTATATTTCATGCAAAGCTTCAATGATTGGTTGGTGAAAACCATGGTTTTACTCACTTAGTGCGAGACATTCAAGTGCAAATTTCTTATAAAATTCAGCATTAAAAATCCATTACATCGAAGTGGAAAGTTTGAGAGAACGATTTTGATAAAGCCGTAAGCTTACCGAAAAATTTTTATCCCCAAGAATTCTGGATACCTTAGTGCCACGTTTAAGGGTAAGAAACACCCATACTGAATAATTTCAACTGCTTCTCTTGTTGTTGTTGATATTAAGAAAACTGGCTGACAACAAAAGTAATTAACTAACTAAAGTCAGGCAAACTTAGTTTTCTAAGGATTTCTATTGAAAGTGATCCGAAGGGCTGCAAGGCGAATTTTTAGGCAGCTGCCATTTACTGTCCATGAGGAAAATAAAAATTTAGCGATGTATTTTTATTATCAGTCTTTTTATCTCGTTTGCTGATAATTCCAGATCGAGATAAAGAAACCAATATATATTACCATAGAAAGAAAAAAATGCCAATCTTTAAGTTTCTTCTATCTCACTCATGACACTCATTTAATTTCACTAAAATCAAATTATGGTGATTCCAAGTTGTTGTTTATTTTTTCTGTCTTATTTTCTTTTCTAGGGATTTAATTTTACATTTATTGTTTAAATCTGTCTGGAAAACGAAAAACGGAAATTATAAAGGTCAAAAGCCGCTGATATCTTTCTTCTTGGAAAGATGGCTTGAGGAAAAGAAATATAATAAACCACATGTTATGGATTATGTAGTAATTATCTTTACCTTCATCTGTGAATTATTTATTTGATTTTTTATATAAAGCATATAGAAACCGCATTAAGCAGGCACTAAAATCGTTCTCTTTATTTCCTTACTTGATGGAAAAACTAAATGTATAGCTCGAGAATTTTAATACGTCACACATACACGAAAAAGATAGACTGTCAGTTTGAAGATGAGTTTAGAACGGCACGTTTGCGCACATAATCTTCCAATAAATATTATTATCCTAAACCACACTATTCCAAAAACATTGATTATGTAATAATTACTTCAATAGACCATTTCCGAGTTCCAAGAAATCTCATTTTCAAAGCGAGGCTGGCTAAGTGCAAAACCTTTGTTGTGAAAACGATTATTATTTGTAGAAGAATAAACATCATTTTCACATCATTGGCTTCACGCTAAGAGGAGGATGGAGGCAACAAGAAATATATATTCCCGAATGCAAAATCATCCTTGCTTCTTTTGTTCGATAATTTAACTTAAACCTGATTAGATCCTTATTAGGATCCGGTCCTACTTTTTTATAACGTTGGATTCCTTTTTTCCAAAATTGAATTAGGAAATGGCCCATTTAGCACTTCAAAGAAAACTTCGAGGTCCAAATCAAGGTCCCTCTCAATCTCGTTCCCAGTCGCCCTCACCAAGTTCGGATTCGACGATCTTCTTCAACATCTCATTTAATAATCCAATATATTTGGCAGCTCTAAACCTCGACCTTGTGGATATTTCGTTTTTTCGTTTTTTTTCTGTTTTACGCAGTTTCCAGGACTTTAATTCTCATAGTCTGCATGCTTTTAATTTTCGCGAGATTAAGGTCGTACAGAAAGCAGCGGTGAATTCTTGTTGTAATGTCAGTTAAAACTTTTATCGAAAACAACCACAGTTGACTTTGCATTCCGGTGTGCCTGATGGGTTTCAATGAGAGGGACCTTAAGTGGCTCTTTGGGTTTTGCTGGTTCAATACCTCCCAGCATAAACTTCGTCGCATAAACTACCACCACAGCTGTAGAGGATTAAGATGAACTTTGTTATGATCAGGGTTACAATGACATCGGAGTTGTCACAGCAACGAAATGACGCCATTACCTATCTTACTTGCAGCTGTATTCCTCAGTTCGTGATTGGATAAAACCCATAGGATGAAAATCAACCTCGTCGAGTCCCCAGTGCGCTTTTCTCTGGCTTTGCCGGAAAAGCGCCCTGGGGACGAGGTTGGAGGAAAATTCCTCCTGTAAATTTGGCGCGCTGCAGGGGATAAAAGTCCTTCGCGCTGGGGCCAACTACCGGAACCGGAAATGAGAAGCGAAGGACTTTGAGGAAGTCTAAAAGGCGACAGAAACAGAATAAACTGTTACTGTCAACTTCTGGGCATTTTTTTCTGCTTGTCCTCGCACGTTTTCCGTTAAAAGCTCATTAGCTGCATATCTCCCCAGGATAAATGGATAAAGCAATTCTAAAGAATCTTTCTTCAACCACCTTACCCAAAGACGTTTTTGAGCGACGAAAGCCAACCAGAAGTGGACATTTTGAATTCTTGGGCAGTGGTTTTGCTCAAATGTTTGGGGAAATCGTCTCTGTAACAGTAAAGACACTTAGCAGTGTTAATTTAGTGGCGAAAAGGCCTCATTTCCGGTAGTCTGCTACACAGCCGTTTTTAGTGTCGCCACGCAACGTTGAGGGAGGATCGTTGCGTGACGACACTAAAAACGGCTGTGTAGCAGACTACACTTCCGGTTGACGTTCATCGCTTAAAAACGCCTGAGCTTAAGTTTCCTGAAGAGACTTACATCAAACAAAAGTCCTTCCGAACAGTTGTTCTACTGTGTGCGACTGAGCAGAAAAAAAAAATGTGAGAATTAGTTATGAATGCATTACTAACGCTTTCTATTTTCCTTTTTTTGCTTGGATCGTTTTGGGATTTCGGCGTCCCCTGAAACGCAAAAGGCAGTTTTTGTAGACATTCTTCTTTCAAGTTTTTAGTTTGTTTTTAATCATTTGAGTTTTTTTGTACAATAATATTGTTTGAAACTCCTTTACAAAAATCTATAATTAGGGGACGTTTATAGTAGGGTCGTCTCGTATGGATATAAATTATTACCGTTTCTGATGAGTGAGCAAGTATGCACAGGATCCTAGGCTCCTAGTATGAAAGATATTTCTTTACACACAACTCTAAGCGACACTTTTATAGGCATAACTATATTGGCTTTTTATCCTAGACATCGTAACTGACAGGAAGCGGACGACCAACATCCGCGTCACTTTTATATGGGCATCCACCCCCCCCCTCCCGCTAGGAAGCATAAAGCATAGAACCACCCATCACTTTCTTCTTCTTCTTCTTCTTCTTCCTCTGTTTATTTTATTTTATTTATTTCTTTTATTATCTATTTATTGTGGCTATCTTATTTCTTTCATTGTTAATATACCAGGAGCCCATGACCCGAAGCGAGCAACACTAATTCAGGACAAAATCGTTGCGTTTTCAAGGCTCGGTTTATTTAGATATAGTTTAGAGCCCTTTCTGCCGGGAACTTCTTGGAGGTCCGCTCCTTCTATGAGCGCATTCGAAGAAAAAGAATACTGAACGTCATTAAGAGGTCAAAAACATTATTTTTAGGCCTGTAACTTTTGCCGACTGGTTTGTAGGACTCCTTCTAAATTCGCGCTAAAATCATTCTAAAAATAAACTGGTTGGTGAAAACGCCGCGACACGACTGCTTGGAAGTTGATCGCTCCGGGTTATTGCCTCCTGCGGATATACCTCCTACTTCGTCAAAGCCTGAACTACAATTTCCCCCTTTCACAGTCCTCTATGTGGTCTTTATGTTGTTTCTTTTGTTTTCGAATGGATGAAACTACAAACGTGTAAAATGAATATAATTGCGGGCGACCAGAGAAACCCGCAAACCTGATCTCCAGGTTGCTATCATGCATGCACGGTTAGTTTGTAGCCAGCATTTCGGACTTCTAATAAGATCAAATTCCGGAATGGAATGCATAAAAAGCAATTTGACCACGGGCGTTTGGACTTTCTATCACTCGTTCTAGCGCGTTATCACACGTGATCACGTGCGTTAATGTTTTGACCTATCACCTGAAACTTACTCACAAAGCACCAGCGTTGGAGCAAAAGCGTTTTGACCTTCGATCAGAAGCTTCAGACACCCGCCGGGCGGGTACTCAACAAATGTTTGTACGGCGAGGCTCCGCCCCGAGGTCCAACCCCTTACCCTTTTATATACCATTTTTCACGAAAAAAGTCCCCCTTTCGTATACCTTCTATCGACAAATGGTACCCCTTTCACATACCTTGTTTATATCTTTGCATCCTTTTTAACTGCGGTAAATGCAGGGTCTTTTAAATAGGAATCAATCGCAAAAATAAAAAGGTTTTCTCGACTTTATAAAGCGATAAAATTCATCTGTTAGGCTTTTTCACAGACCCAAATGACAGATTTTCCTACCCTTTTATGTACTTCAACTAGTGAAATCCCTTACCTTTCATATACCTGAAGCATGAAAAAGATACCCCTATCAGGCGGAGCCTCCCTGTATAGGCCATTATAGGGACCCCCCCGGGAGACATCTTGTATCGATCTCGCCCGCACTCCTTATAAACGTTTGGATATTTTTAATATCATTTTTTAAGTGGACTGAAAGACAACAACCTGTACATTATGTAACTAGCATGAGCTGCGAACATTATATCAGTTCCCCTGACTAGCTGCTTGTCTAAGACACGGTGCAAAGACCATGGATGGTCTACCGAATGTTCGAATCTCTGGTGACAACGCTCCAAACGAATACACCTAGGCTCCAAGTTTACCAGAGGGTCCTCATTAGATTTATTCCATCCCAACAACCCTTACACAAGTTTGCCAGTCCCGCTTCACAGAATATTTTTATTTGCTAATCCCAATCCTGAACATACGCTTTAGAGTTCAGACTTCCACACTAATAGAACCTCCATACACGGTCAAATGTGAGGAGTAGGCTGCACGCGGTAGACACATGGTTGGTTTCTAGTAGGTAGCGCTACGATGTAGACATTTCCCAAATCTTGCATCGTGAAAGTGCCAAATTTGTGTCCAGTTCCCAATTTTATTTCCCGAATATCACTCCCTTTCTCCGGTCGACCTTCAAATAATTAAAATCCTTGATCCTGAAAAACCTTCTGGGCAGTCTTTATTGGTCACGTGATGACACGTGTACTGCATTTACTGACCCGTGTTCAGTCGGTTCCTCGCTACCTGACCGACCTCGTGGGAGAATAATCCCCCGGTTTCCACTCAAAATCCCCCAGAGAGTGTGGCGAAATTTGTCGTTGATAAATGTGTAAATGATAGGATTATAGATCACAGAGGCCTTGGCCATAAGCTCCGGGATTTCTGATTCCCCGGATGTCATCACGTGATGGCCTTTGACCGTCGCTGTGAGGCTAACAAAAGCGTAAGGCGACCAACTTAGCAGGAAGGCACCGATCGTCACCGCTGTCATCAGAATGGATTTGTTCTGGTATTTTCTGCGTTGAGCTTGAAGGAAAGCATTTCCGGTCATCGGTCTGCGTTTGAGTGTTCTTTTACGGATTAAAAAAAACAAAGAACAAAAATATGTCACGTTTAATACGCCGGAAGAGGAGAAACCAAGAGAGGATTAAGGGTAAGGGAGAAAATGATCGACCACTCAAGATATTTTTAGTAACAGCAAGGCGGGAAATTCCAAATTTGAAACGTTGAATCTTTTGAGTGAATACCCACATTTTCATTGTTTTTCCTTTCAGTTTTAAATTACCCTTATTATGTTAATAAAACCACAATTTAGCACTCAAAAACTTGAAAAATCGAAAAGCTAAAAACATAATATTTAGAAAACTTGACAATTCTTACTCTGTTCATGATTATTGGTTAGGGTTACAGATCAAAAGATATGTAATGGTAGTAACTAAAATAACTTACCAGCGATAACTTACAAATAAAATAACTTACCAGCGATAATCTGTGGAAAAGGGCTAATATGGGGATTTACTCTCCTTACTCTTATCATCTCTTGGCTAAAAGGCATAATGAGGTCAGGTTGTATACGTACGGTGTAGAGGAAGGAAAAATCCATTTCTCTTAAGAGCCTTACTATTAAAATTAAGCCATTTAAGCAAAATTCTGTGTCACACCGGAAGACCCCAAAAAGTAGCCAACAAAAGAAAACAAAGCAATATAACATATACTAGTGGGAGTGGGTAGAGCTATTGGTTGGGTACCCAAATTCGACCGGGTGATTCATTTAATCTGAGTTCGATTCCTGGCCGACCAACACTCTGGTGAGACACTATTAGTTTTGAACCGTTAAGTGTCTCTTTACTCTCATGGAAACTATTTAAAAGAAGTTTTTGGCAAAACCACCGCCCAAGAATGTGAAAAGTCCGCTTCCAGTTAACTTGCGTCGCTAAAAAACACCTTTACTTAAGCTCCTTGTTATTCTCCCCCCCCCTGGGGGTGATCCCTTGTAATGGCTAGAAAGGTATGTGCCGCTTAGTAGGGTATGGTTTTTGAGGGTTTCGATCCATAATTTCGGTATCATTTTTGCCCTTGTTGGCTCCGTGTTCTCGGTGTGATCCTTAGAAAGGGTACCTAAATTGTTTCAGCTGAAATTCAAGTGCAATTCAAACAAATTCTCTGTTAAAACTAATATGTCCCTTGGCGCGTCAGGAAAGCGATTTGTGTTGCCATCAAATTATTAGATTTGGTTTCCCCTTCAATAGAGGGTTATTTCTCGGGTATCAACTTTCTTTTATCTTATCCTTAAATAGGGACAGGGTTTTAAGGCCCCGGCGGCATACACCTATCTGAAAGTTATCGGAGTACACAACCCGGGTTTCATGCCTACCTGAAAGTCAAGGTGTAATACACAGCAATAATCACCAGCGGGGTAAGGAAGCCTACTACTATCAACACCGAGATGTATGCTTTACTGGCGACGTTTGGTGCCGTCCACTCGGGTGCGCAACTAAAACTGGCTTGACCGGGTACAAACCGGTTCCATCCAACCAAAGGCGGGAGCATGACAATGAATCCATAAAGCCAAGTGGAGGCAATGAGAAGAGTGATCTGTCTCTTGGGGACAACATTGTGTGCCGGTGGGAAGTTGCGTTTGACAGTTTGGTACACTACTCCACTCATAACCGTTAAGGTGGCGATGCAGGTCATACCCGAGAAACCGTTAGCAAAACCAGACCAAACACACAATGGGCTCTCGGGGAATAACAAATCACCGTTTAGGTTGCTTACGATGATCGCTGGGTAGCCAAACACGATAATGAACAGATCTGCGAGGGCTAAATTCACCATAAGTGGCGTGATGCTCTTCATACGGTGCTCTCGTTGTCGAAGGACAAGAATGGTGAACACGTTGCCGAAAAAACCGATGATCAAAACGAAAAACATGATAACCCCATAAGCCATATATACTGACTGCCATCTGAAGGATGGAGCACTGCTGGTGGTACTCAGTTGGATGGAACTCGTGCTTAAAGACTCAGTCGTCATGTTTTAAACGTTCCTGAAAGGAAAGAGACAGATGGCCGTGTATTGTCGCAATTTGTAATAATCATCGCACTTTTTAATACCTGTCGCAATTTGTAATAAACCGTGTCGCACTTTGTAATAAAAAAGCTGTCGCAATTTGTAATAACTGTCCATCGCACTTTGTAATAAACTAAGCTGTCGCAATTTGTAATAATTCCATCGCACTTTGTAATAACTTTTTGAGAGTAATTATACTTGCTTCGTCAACATTAATATAACGCCAAAATATGCATGGTACTTCATAAACAAAGATGATGACGTCTGCTAGCACGTAACAACTCCGCTCATTCAAACATTTAACTTTATTCACAGTCCTAAACATTTTTTTAGATTAATGTTGATTAGTTATCTGATTTACGAAATGCTGTATTCTTAATCCATTCGCTCCTGGGGATTTTGCCAAAAAACGCGTTTTGAAGCTAGTCGAGTGGTTTTCTGGTCACTGTCGTGCTATAAAGAGCTAAAACTTACCACAAACCGGTTTACAGGTCGTACACTTCGCGGCCTTCTGATCCAGATGCAAAATATCAGCTTGCAAAGTTCGGGCATGCGCAGAATTTCGAGATTTCGAGTTTTTGGGTTTAAAAGTGACACAGCAGTCTTGACTTTTACTTTTTGCTTTCTCTCCTCCCCCCTTTTTTCGCTTTTCTTGCCTCATTTTTTTTTCTCTTGCTGGGCATTTTGTAGGCTTCGTTTTGGTGGGAAGAGTTTTTAGGAAAGCTTTTAGGATCTTAGGATTAGGTGAAAGGAAAGGTATGTGAGCAATAGAAGAAGATTTTCATGGAGATTTTCAGGTTAATGTCACATGGTTTTTCGCTTCTTTCTCCGGTGTCCTTGACTGAATTGTGCTCATTCTGGTATGGTTTGAAAGATCTCTTCCCTCTGCACAAGTTAGCAGACAAAGTTGTCCTTGACCGTTAAAAACTGATGACGTCATAAAGGGTAGAAAGGACGCGGATCCGCACGGGCGGTTACAGGCGGTTCAGGGGCGAATGGGTTAAACCTCGCTATTGTACTAGGTGGCTTGCATTCAATTGTTCCCCGGCGGGTGTACTTCCTGATATGGCCAATACGGGGATGTGCCTCTGGATAGAGCATTGCCAGAGTACAGGATCTAGACAGAGCTAGACACACTAGACACAAACGAGCCACTATCAAAAAGCATTTAATTTCCGCAAATCGTAACATCCATCCTACATCATTCGAATAAGGACACCAGGGGAGTTCAAGCTTTCCTTTTAGATCTTATAACAGGTCTACACAACACGTGGTGCACCGTCCTTGTCTAACGCGCAATCTTAAAGAATTAATAGTGGCTTCAATATTTTGGCCAACTTAATCAAACGAGGCCTGGAAAGATTCAAAATGTTTACTGCAAATAAAAAAGAAAAACGTCTTCAGTGGCAAACCGTCGAACCACAACAGAAACCTAAACACAAAATCCAATTAGTCGCTGGCCAATACCTTCGTATATATCTGTTTTATAACACTCACTTGGGGTCTTACACTGAGCCGGCTGGGCATCTGGTCCATTATTCTCACTTGATTTGGTCCCGTATAGGAACAAAAGGAGTACTCATTCCATCTTAAAACAATTGTTTTCTATAAGTAGTCCTCTAAAGCAAATACCATGGGGATAGTAGAAAATTATCCTTCCCTGCGTATATACAACTCGTAAGACCTTGCAATTCTTCCGAGCGTGTTCTGGATTACTGTTTTTCCACAAAATGGAAAGGATGGAATAAACCATCCATTACTACTTGAGTTACCCTATCTAAGGATCAAACCAAAGACACAAGGCCAACAACGTAAAAAATGATACCCTATTAAAGGCTAGAGATCCTCAAAAACCATACCCTATCAGGCGGTACTTACCTATCTAGCTCATCCATATATAGGATTATCCCCCCCCCCGCTGAAGACTTCACGTGTCACGTGGCCAGCAAACATGGATTTGGACGACGAATGCCAGGTTGTTCATGAATTTTCTGTTGTTAAATGTTGCTTTTGTTATTTAAATATTTTTTAATTTAAACATGATTCATATCTTTTTGATGATATGTCACTGGAAGTTTCATGTCTTTCATAAAGCGTTTCTAGTTGGTCACGTTATTAATCAAGGCAGAAAAAGTTATAGCCGAAGACATGCATGTTTGACCAAAGAAAAGGTTACAGAGATGTTACGTGCTAGCAGACGTCATCATCTTTGTTTACGAAGTACCATGCATATTTTGGCATTATATTAATGTTGACGAAGTAAGTTGAATCACTCTCAAAAAATTATTACAAAGTGCGATGGAATTATTACAAATTGCGACAGCTTAGTTTATTACAAAGTGCGATGGACTGTTATTACAAATTGCGACAGCTTTTTTATTACAAAGTGCGACACGGTTTATTACAAATTCCGACAGGTATTACAAAGTGCGATGGATTTATTACAAATTGCGACAGATATTACAAAGTGCGATGGTTATTACAAATTGCGACAGTACAGGCCTCATTTAAGGTAAGTCGAATTCCGGAATCCAGGAAATACTGTTTTGCGATCCCCAATCCTAGAATTTTTTGCTTGTAAATTCCGGACCAGGGCTTTGGAACCCGGAACTCAGCTCAAGGAATCCGGAATCCCGCTAACGATTGGAATCTGGAATCCAAATTCCACTGACAAGGAATCCGAAATCCAATTCCTGGAATCCAGGATCCAAGACTGTCTTCGATTAGCTTACATGGGGTAGCCTGACTCTCAGACGTCCGAGGTCGTTCGCGGTCCCTTTCGCTTCCCTCCCTCTCGCGTCTGATATACTCTGTGCGAAGTCGTGTTCATGACGTCAGAGCCATTGTCAATTTTCACCAATCAAAGCGCGTGTACCATATTTTGAAAAGTGTGGAATGTATGGAATGTAATTTCCCACACATCGAGTCAAATCAAAATGGCGATGTGGACGATGTGTGTGGTTTCGATTCAGCCGTGCAAAACTGGTTTGTTTACTTTTCCACGCTTCATTTCTTACGCGCGTTGTGATTGGCTTTTCATATACAAAAGGGTGCTCTGACGTCATGAACACGACTTTGCACAGAGTATATCAGATGGGAGAGGGAGGGAAGCGAAAGGGATCGCGAACGACCTCGGACGTCTGAGAATCAGGCTATACATGGAGCTCTTGACCCTTGAAACCCTTATATCAAAATTGAGATTCACATTTACTGTCCCTATACTTTTTCAATAGAAGTAGTGGGGATTTTTGCTGAAGTGTCAATTAGACTCATCTTTCCTGACCATGTACTCAATTCTCATGGCAACTCCGTTTTTCAAAGCATTGATGTTACGAGGAGAAATTTCATGCTGATCACCCCAGGGGGGGTACTCCGGATTTCAAGTGACAGGGATGTTCCAATGGGGGCAAAAATTAACACCCCAAAAAATCCCTTGGGCTTCAAATAAAACACCAAAAAATACCAGGAACAAAATTTAACGCCCTAAAAATCAGATGGCGAATTTCCGAGCCATAAAAATTTCCAGAGAGCATTAAATGATTATAACACCCCCAAAAATGCCTTCTTAAATCAAGCTACCCAAAAAATTACTTGCCAAAAGTTTCCTACCCCAAAAATCCCGAAATCCAAAATTTCAAACGCCCCAAAATCCTTCGATCATCCCTGTCACTTGAAATCCGGAGTACCCCCGCCCCCCCCGGGGCTGATCACTCCTTGGGCTTAAAAGCTTAAAAGGTTAAGGGAAGATGGTATTTATTATTTTAAGGAGTTTTAACATGGGGGAAAGCTTGTAACTTCCCTTTGAGGATGACTTTTTAAATAAAACTAATAAAAGTTGTATCTATTCCAATGCATCCTGAATAAATTATGTACTGTACGTATATATGAGTGGTTTTGTCGAAAACTGAGACGCACCATATATACCGCCAATCATATTACTCTATTCAGTTCATTTTTTTTAATCAGTGTCTCTTTTCCGATCTGAGATTGAACGTTGAAAGAGTATTCTGCTGAATTTTTTTTTGTAGTAAAAGTGATGTTAGTCAGTCCAAGAAGTATGCTAAATTCATAAATTACTGCAATCCTTATACTCATCCTTATTCAGCCTAGTTTTGGAAATAGTGTTTTTCAAGGCAGTGCCTTCTTTTACAAAGTTCCTAGTTTAGAAGGATTCGATCAAACGCTGATATAAAATTGGATTACACAGTTTAGAGGTTATTGGTTTCTGAGGCAATAGGCTGTTCAATACAAAAGCTTAAAACTAACACTTACTTTTTAAAAATAAGCCCTTCCTTCACTTGACTCAGACCTAGTGGATCGAGTACCTTCCAAAGTATGCTAAATAAAAACGCTTGCTTTAACCAATTTTCACTTTCCCCGAGACGAGGGCCACAGTTTCTGAGAAGTTCACGCCTCCGTTAAAACACTTAACTCGCCGAAAAGACCAATTCCTTTCTAAAAATGGTCGTCAATGTTAATAAATTAATACAAATGACGTTTTTGTTGTTTTGACCTGACCAATGGATAGCACTGTTCAAAGCACAGACGCTTGGATTTCTTTCTAGAAAGAAAACTTTCCGCTGCTTCCTGGTGTGAAAGCTGTTGCTATAAACATTACATTAAATGTGCGTGTATGAGTAAATACACGTGTTAAAACAATTGTTTCGCGCGCACGTGGGCAAGAAGACCTCAGTTTCCTGTGAAACAATCACTACAATCTCTTACATTAGTCGTATGTTGACAAATCGTATGATTTCGATCAATTCAGGGTCTTGTTTCGCTACACAGCAGCTACGACTATGACACACATCTATCAGTTGCAGTTGACCGACCGCTTACTTATTTTGGGTTTTACGGGACAAAAATTGAAAACGGCGGCC